GGTCTGGGTACCAGTGATTTTGGTATGGCCATGCCCTCCTACTTACCCTGCCCTTTGGAATCTATTACACCTAAAAGACTTTTCTCATAGCCCAAGTGTTTAGGGATACTTTCATTAAAACCTATATGCTACTTGTGAAGGAGCTCTGGTGGCGCAGTGCCTAAGGCATTTGACTGCCAACCAGAAAGTTGGTGGTTCAAACCCACGAGTGGCTCTGCCAAAGACAGATGGGGCAATCTACTTCTGTAAAGATTTACTGCCTCAGGAAAGAAAGCCAATGGGGATCACTGTGAGTCGGAATCGACGGACAGCAGTGAGTTTGCTTTTGGTTTATGTGCTACTTCTGGGAATTAATTAATGTCATGGAGCATATGTGTTTGCTCTGTAAACTTTCATCCAAATCACAATAAACATTGAAAAAAATACAACAAAACTATATGCTACTTAATCTTTAGAATACCAGGAGGCAAAGTAAAAGGTCCCCAATCTGTGAGAGGGTCACTTCAAGGTTAAGGAAGACAAGTTCAGATAATGACGAGTGTGGCCCCAGTACACTCTGTCCTAAGTCCTAGACTGCTCTGCCCATCCACTTGCCAAAGGTTTTGAATTGAGGTAGTAAGAGCACCTGTCCGTGGACAGTACAGTGCAGTAGTCAACCACACAGGCTTTGCCCTGACCAAGCAACTCCACCCACCATCGTACATTATCTGTTCAGAGGGGATGCTAACAGGACCCATTCTCACAGTCATTGTGATGATTAGATGAGCTACTAATATATGTAAAGGGCTTTCCCATCCCCTAGAACATATTAGTTATTACTCAAAATGAAAATTAATGTTGTTGTCTGATGGGGTATATACCAGGTACAAGTTTTTCTAGTCTTTTCCAGGTGCATAGCTAAGGTCACCATATGAAAAAGAAAAGAAAGTTTGGTTAAAACAGAGAGCAAGGGCTTTGTTCAGAAACACATGCAATTTTTCCTTCTCATTTAAAAAAAAAAAACAACAGGGCATTTTAGGACAAGATCACTGACCTCTAGAAATTTAGACTAGTGGTGGTAGACAAACACCAAGCAGTCACTGGAAAAACAGTTAAGATATTATAGACTTTTTACAGTGTGCCAGGCCCCGTTCTGAGCAACATAAAGGGAACATCTCATTTAATCTTGACAACTACCTTATGGTATCAGAGCATTATCACCAGTTTACAGAGAATCAAACTCAGGCCCAGGGAGGAGAAACAACAGAGACTGCACAGCTAACAACTGACACAGCTGGAAAGCAAGCTAGCAGTCTAGCTACCGGGCCCCTCCATCTGCCCTCTGTGCCACAGAAGAGGGGCAAAAACATCATGGGGACACAGAGGACATGACCCTAACTGGGGTGTAAAAGGGGTAGCTGGGCAAGGGTTCTACAGGGGACGTGACACCTATGAGTAGAAGGCAGGCAGGCACAGGAAGCAGGAAGGAAAGGCTGTGTCAGGTAGAGGAGACAGCAAGCAAAGGTGTGAGTGGACCAGGACATGGACTGGGAACATGCAGTTTTTTGGTGGTTAGGTGCTGCCGAGTTGGTTTTGACTCACAGGGACCCCTTATACAACAGAACAAAAAACTGTCCAGTCTTGCGCTGTCTCACAACTGTTCCTGTGTTTGAGCCCACTGCAGCTACTGGGTCAATCCATCTCAGCGAGGGTCTTCCTCTTTTTCATTTGTTTGTTTTGGCTAAGTCCTCATAAAAACGAGCAGGAGGAGAAAAACAAGGTGCGAGTCACAGAGATCCTGACAGATTTATAAAGTGTTGCCATATACCTGTTCCTATTGACCTTTCAGGAGCTCTGGTAGCATAGTGCCTAACCAGAGGCTGGCGGTTCAAACCCACCAGCCACTCCTCAGAAGGAAGGTTGGGCAATCTACTTCCATAGTGATATTGCCTTGGAAACCCAAGGAGGGGTCACTATGAGTTGGGTCCAACTCGTCAGCACATAACAACAACACTGACCTTCCAGGCAGCCTATGTTTGTGTAATGAATATGCAACTTTGGGAGGTGGATGGGCAGGACACCAAGAACCAAGCCAGGCTGAAGAAGACAAGGATCAGCCTAAAGCAGAAAGTCACAGAAAGTTCCACTGGACCCAGGTCAAGCACCTATGCTGACACAATACACCATCACGGAGCAGCTAACTCCCTCTGCCCATAGGGCAAGGCAAAAACATAAGCCTGCATACTGGCTCACACGTGTGTAAGGAGTCCCAAGGTGATGCACCTTAACAGGCTGTCAAGTTCTGTGGGCTGTGAGGTGGGGCCACATGCTGAGAACCTGATCTGCATCCACATAAGACAGTACTCTCCAGGTGTGGTGGCTGAGACCAAGAGTTCAGAAGCCAGACTACCTTATTTTAAATCCTGCCACTACCATTTACTAACTGTAACTCCAGGGATGACTTCTCTATTTATTAGGGTGCAATGGTTAAGTGTTCACCTGCTAACCAAAAGGTCAATGGTTCAAATCTACCAGTGGCTACGTGGGAGAGAGATGTGGCAATCTGCTTCCGTAAGGATTACAGCCTCAGAGACTATGAGGCAGCTCTACTCTGTGCTCTACGGGTCCTGTGAGTCAGAATCAATGGGTTTCTTTTTTCTGTTTTTGGTATCTATAAACGGGGATGATAACAGCACCAAGGATTAAGTAATCAATACTTGAAACACATACAGAGTAGGGCCAGGTATACAACAAGTGCTATATTAAGTCTTCAACCCTGAATTTCCCTCGAAATCACTCTCAACTCCTGTTATCAGGCACCTTGGTGGTTGTTCTTTAAAACATTTGCGTTTTCTAATCACCTGGTATCACAAGGTTTATGAAATCCCTTTCCTGTATCATCAGAAACTCACAAAGCACCTTAACATTTGTGACTTTTTCTAATTTGTTTTGTGACACTATCAAATCTATGGTTTAATAATAATTAAACTCGGTACCTACTTATTGAACATCTCTGAACGTTACAGGTAGGATGCAGGTGTTAGGCAGGTGGCCGCCTGCCAGGTACAGAAGCCCTGATCATCACTGTGCTCACCAGGATGTGATGGACAAAGCTCCTGAGACGTGGGATGAGCTCACAGTCAGCAGTTACCTGTTCTTCCAAAATGGAACTTCTGACCAGGGTAGAGTTTGAGTAGTATCTGACATACTGATGACAACAAGCACTGTGCATTTCAGAGAAGGCCAGGGTGAGACCTAGGCAGTATTCTGCATTTCCAACCACGTACCTGACAGTCATCCACATCAACTTCGAGGAACACCACATTGCCATACTTTTCAGAGAGGGACTGGAAAATGTCAAAGAAAAAAGCCAACAAGATTTAAAACTGGTAATGGCAGTCAATATAGTCACGCTTCTTAAATGGAACCTTAATAAAAATAGAGAAGAATTAAAATTCCAAAACTTTAGACTAGGGTACCCAGTAGGTATTTCAAAGACACATGTGTTCTCTGAAGGAGCTCTGGTGGTGCAGTGCCTAAGGCATTTGCCTGCTAATCAGGTTGGTGGTTCAAACCTACCAACCACCCCGTGGAAGGAAGATGGGGCAATCTACTTCTGTGAAGATTTACCACCTAGGAAACCCAGTGGGGCTTGCTATAAGTTCAGACTCGACTTGATGGCAATGAGTTGGGTTTTTTGGTTTTTATACATTCTCTGAATAAAATTCTTACTGCTGTTAAATAATCTGGCACATTAACTTTGAGGCCTGCATTTCAAACAGGGTCTATGTCCCAGGTTCAATAAAGGTTAAATAATTTAATACAAACTAAGGTTAGGCAATCCTACTTCCGTAGTGATACCGCCTTGGAAACCCAAGGAGGGTCGCTATGAGTCGGGGCCAACTCGATGGCACATAACAACAACAACCTAACTTCAGAAAGTTGTCTTAAAGGACCTACATGTATCAAACCTAAATGATTTAAGATGTTACACTACTACTTGTAGACCAGAGATCCAGCAAGTGGAGAGGGGGAAAAAAAAAAAAACGCTTTACTGTCCTTTTTCCTTAGCTCTGTGACCACCAACCCCCATAAAAACAAACCTCTTCCAATGTAGGTGTGATACTCACATGATAGAAAGGCTTGATCATTTTGCAAGGCCCGCACCATGTGGCTGAGAAGTCAACTACTACGAGTTTATCTCCAGCACTGTTCAAGGCTGCCTGAAAATCTTCCTAAGGAGGGAAAATAACACATGCTAAACTGTTTCATTTCTGAAAGCCTTGGAACCTCAACAGGACAGAAAGCACAATGGGGAGGTCCTGCTTTCAGGACTCATTTCTAGTAAAAGTGGAGGGAAAAAAAAACAAAACCCAAAGAACTAGGTTCAAAGCTACCCTAAATACTGGTGCTGTCATAAATGAAACAAGATGCAATGTTTACAGTATATCAATATACATGTCTTCATGGATTTATTTTATAATCTATAGCTAAGCTAATTAAAGTAAAATAAAAACAGAA